CCAAGTCGGGGTTCTTCCAGAATGGGGGTCCCCGGGTGCCTTCACCCTGAGCTGGGGCTCCCTGGGCATCTCCTGCTCCACTGAGGCTCCACTGAGCCACGGGGTGCTCCCTGTGCCCGGGTGCTCCCTGTCCCCCAGGGTGCTCCCTGTCCCTGGAGTGTGGGTCTCCAGCAGCACAAACCCCCCAGAGCCATCAGGACACGGAGGTGCCCGGCCCTTCCTGGAGCAGCACATCCATGGATTCTGTCCCAAGGGAATCTCCTGTTCCCCACCAGGGATCCCCTGGGATCTCTCTGGGAGGATGAGGATCCTCTCCAGGGGGCCCTGGGCATGTTGTTGGATTGGGGAGGGACAGTGGGGCCGGGTGGTCACTGTGCCCGAGGGGTTGGGGGACAGCCAGGGCTTGGCCAGATCCCTGAAGCTGGGGCAAGATCACTGGGGAGGGGTCCCAGCGTTTCAATAATGAGGGGTCCTAGTGTTTGATTAGGGAGGAACTCCAGGGTTCCATTGAGGAAGGATCCTGGTGTTCTGTTAAGGAAAGATCCCAGTGTTCCACTGAGGAGGGGTCCCGGTGCCTTGTTGGGGAAGGATCCCACTTTTTCATTAGAGACGGATCCCAGTGTTTGTTTAGGGAGTGATCCCAGTATTCCATTGGGAAGCGATCCCAGTGTTCCATTAGGGAGGGATCCCAGGGTTTCCTTAGGGACAGCCCTCCCCCGGGGTGCCCGTCAGTCCCTCACAGCCGAGTCCCGGCTCTGCTGTCCCGGCCCTCTGGCCAAGGCCGGGCTCCCCCCGGGCCCCCTGGCACTGCTGGGGCTGCTCCTGGTGGTCCCTGTGGCCACCCCAGCACCGCTGGGGCCGGTCCTGGTGGTCCCAGCCCCACGTGGCTCCGTCAGGGCGCGGTTGGGCCACAGGAACAGCCCGGGTGGCAACAGGAAAAGCCGTTACTGGCCGGGCTGTCGCAATCCCAGTGACGGGCTGTCCCGGCTCCGTCCCGGCTCCATCCCAGCTCCGTCCCAGCTCAGTCCCCTTTGGGAAGGGCTGTACCAGGCAGTATTTTGGGGGAGCTGGAGCGAGGCCCCTCGGGATCCCTGTGGCTCGACACAGTCCCGGTTGATCCATTGTCAGGGCAAAGATCCCAGTGTCCCATTGAGGAGAGATGCCAGTGTTCCACTGAGGAAAGATCCCAATGCTTTGATGAGGAATGATCCTGGTGTTTCGTCAAGGATGGATCCGAGCGTTCCATCAAGGTGTGATCACGGCATTCCATTAGAGAGGGATCCCAGTGTTCCATTCAGGAGGCATCCAGTGCTCCAGCAGCCAGGGAGAGCAGGGTTGGTATCCCCACGTGCTGCCTCGCTCCGTGGATCCGCCCATCCAGCAGCTGACGGCACAGGAACACCCGAAATGGCAGCAGAATCCCTGGGATTGGGGTGTGGGC